CCGGGCCCCTTGGAGCTCCCGCCGCTCCCCACACGGGTGAGGTTCCCCCCCGCCTGGGAAATGGCCGTCCCGCTTTGCGAGCGAGCGCCGTAGGCTAACAGGGTCCTCGTTGTAACCCACACTGCGGGTTAAACGAACAAACCGGCAGTTGTTTACTTTCTAGTTAATGCTTTTTACATTTAACGTATACTGACTTGAAACAGGTCCCACGAGAGAGGAGCCTGGCTGGGTGGGATCCCTGTGGGATTGGGTTTTTTTTAAAAAGGGCCTTCTGTTGTCAGCAGGGATTTTAGATGCTGGTTTTATTGCACTCTCTCTGTTGACCAGGCAGCAGAAACTATTAGAGTCACATTTTTACATAGCCATTTCATTTACTTTATAGAGAATATGACTAAGTATATTCTACAGAGCAGGACATACAGTAAGATTATTCACGATGGGAATATTCAACAGCGTATTTGATACTTAGAGATCTTCATGAAAAATACGTGAAGAATCTTGTTGGAAAAGATCAAGATGTGTAATGCTGGAATTGGTCAGATCTCAAGTGCCTGTGCTGTTTCCCAGCCCACAGCCAAGCTCAGCACCTGCAGCACCGGGACTGCTCTGTGCTCTTTAATCTGAGAAGCAACTGAAAACCAGATTACTTTTTAAAATCAATGCATGTTTTAATGAACCGGTACATAAGATTCATTTTTTATGAAGTTCTGAGAGCTCTGTTTTAGAAAACTAATTCAAGTTCACGTTTGTGTTTTCAGAGGAAGAAAGAATGTCACAAAAACATCTGAAAGAAGTCTTTATCAGCAACTTAAATGGAACCAGTTTGCTGGAAATTTCACTGGGCTTGTCTCTACCTCCACTTTGCCTGCTTGGCAGGGGACTCCTCTTGATTTTGTATTATCTGCACTATGGGAAACCTTTAAATTCAAGGAAATACAGCCTGCTGCTAGACTTCCTTGTGCTGGTATCTCCTCTTCTGTTCTCCTGTACGGTCTTGTCTCCAATCATCTTTCTCATGCCAGCTATCATTGCAGCCTTCTGTGCTGGAATATTTACTACAATATACAGCCAAAGAAAACAAGAGACCAGAGTGCCTTTTAGGCAAATTGTAAAAGACTTCCAGAAGACGTACTTGGATCCAGAATACATTCCAGCAATAACTGTGTTTCGTGTTTATGTCAATGTGTTGACAGCAATCAGCATTTTAGCAGTGGATTTCCCGCAATATCCAAGGCGATACGCCAAAGCCGAGACCTATGGAACAGGAGTTATGGATCTGGGAGTTGGAGCGTTTATTTTTGGTAATGCTCTCGTTTGTCCTGAAGTTAGACAAAAGTCTTGTGTGACACAGCCAAGATTTGCCAATCTGGCCAGGCAGTTCTTTTCTGTTTGGCCGCTGTTTTTTCTTGGCATTGGACGACTGCTTAGTGTTAAGTCTATAGAGTATCATGAACATACTTCAGAGTATGGAGTGCACTGGAATTTTTTTTTCACTCTAGCATTTGTGAGGCTTGCAGCATCTCTACTTTTAGCTATCTTTCCAAAAAATAAATCTTGGATTGTTGCTATATATCTCGCTGTACTTTATCAGCTCATTCTTAACACTACCTCTCTGAAGATGTTTATCTTGCATGGTAGCAACGGCAGAGATACCAGGGTCGGCTTTGTAAACGCCAACAGGGAAGGGCTGCTCTCTCTTGTTGGATACCTCGCTATATACATGGCAAGCGTCCAGGTGGGGCTCTGCCTGCTGAAGCGCAGGAGCTCAGTCAGAGAGTGGCTGGAAGCAGTGTGTTTCTTGCTGCTGACAGTTGTCCTGCTCTTCCTCTTTCTTCACGTCTCACAAGTACACGCGGACCCGGTGTCCCGCCGGATGGCGAACCTATCCTACTGCATATGGGTGGTTACTCACTGCTTGACTTTATTTCTCTGGTTTCTAGTGACTGATCTCACCTTGGTGTTCACACAGCTTCTCGTGAAGGGGTCCAGTGTGCCCTGTTGCTGGAACGCTGCAAAGCCCCCTATGACTAGTACAAAACATGAAACAGAGACCGTGCCTAGGGGAAGGGAAGGCAAGGAAAAACTGCACATTTGCCTCATTAGTGCTATTAATAAAAATCAATTACTGTTTTTCTTGCTAGCAAATGTTATGACTGGTATGGTGAATATACTGATAGATACAATCCACAGCAAGACTGCATTTACATTGTGTATACTGCACTTGTATATGTTTCTTAACTGTTTAATTATGTATATATTGCATGCCAAAAATATAGTATTAAAGTTTTGGTGATTCCACTCTGTCTTAAGCGGACTAGTTGAACTTTGCTGTAGTTGAATGATGGTATTTTAATGGAAAAAATAGTATTTTTCCTGTATGTATTGCAAAAATTGATAATGTAGTATAGCTTTTTATGTGTTAGTATTGATTATTTTTTTAATACTTTGTTTTACCAAATTATACGGTTGGTGCTGTTACACATTCTCCTGGATACTTAGTTTTTTAGATTGCTTGGTGAATACTCCTCCTATAAACACTCATGCAGGAGAGTAACATTGTTTTTACAGTTAGTGGACTGTTCATACCCAAGTGCTGGTAGAATTAGGTAACAATTTATAGAGTAGAAGCCAGATGAAACAGAAAGAAACTGAGTAGTTATATAGAGAGAGACTTAGCTGTGTCAAGATGTACCTAGTTAAGGCCCTTGCATAAATAATAGATAAGAATAATTCTTCATATAAGATGTATTGAGTAAGTAGGTATTTAAAAATATTTTGGCCCCAGTCCTGCAAAGATTTATGCACACACTTGACTTTGACAGCAGTAACTGTATGTGGAATGTTAATCATATACTGAAATCTAAATGAGCCTTTGAATTCAAGCTAAATTGTATTTTCAATCTCACTGATGAATATAAATGAAGACCCTAGATAAAGTGTGATGCTCTGAAGGATAACACTCAACTGCAGATGAATTCATAAAGCAGTTGCTGGAGTTTGTGGTACAGATAATAAGAGCAGTACAGCCTTTTATAAGAAAATACAAAGATCCCAAACTAATTTACCTGCATACAACATGTTGTGACAGCTCATCTTTAGGAATGCTGTAAAATACGGTCTTCAGCTCTACTTTGAAAGTACTCAAGGGCCACCTACTTGTCTATAACATTCTTTTAAACAGCAGCTCATTTAGTACTGTGTTTTGATGGCTGAGATGTCTTCAAGTGGGAACATTCTGTATTAATTTTTATTAGCAAACTGTGTGCAAACAGAAAGAAGTGTGACGCGGTGGGTCAGGGTACCTGCAGAGCATGGACAAGAGATGGCTCCGTTCCTTTTGTCACAGTCATCCTGCAAGCCCAGAGCAGAACACCCTTTTTGTTCACTTTCCTAACTGTGACAGTTCTTCCTGACCTCATTGAGTTATTGAGAAGAGAAATGCATTTAGAGATTGTGAGGAATTCGATAATGGGAGATATAAATACTTAAGAAGTAGAATATAAATGGTAGTTGATGATAGATGCCTCATGTCAGTGGAGTTACCGCAGTGCACATGGGCTGTATTTCATATTTCTCCTTGCCTATCAACTGTGATGAATCGCAAAACCTATGGAGATTAAGCCTCTAAATCAGATTCCTTAAGGCAGACATGCAGGGGAATATTCTTTAATTTATGAGGTTCTCTTAGCTCCTGGCCAATGGAAAGGTGAAGTCTGAGGATTATTGGCTGTGGCCATGCTGCTTTCTTGCTTGTTCACTTCTCAGTTATTACATTGTCTTCAGAATTAAAACCAGCCTGTATTATCCTGGGGACAAATGCAACTAGTTGGCAACAACATCTTATCCGTTCATAGCAGAGTTTTCTGGTAATGGGTGTATGTATTTATTTTAAAACATTTCCTAGGGAAGAAAGGCCTCCATCAAAAACTGAATGGCACTACTCCTTTATGCAAAATTACTCATGGATATTAATTTTTGAAATATTTGAAGCACAAGATCTGCAATGAGTTCTGCCTGTGAGCACAAGTCTATCAGCGTGACTCAGAATTAGGGCATTAATTGGGTGTGACAAAGCGGAGTTATGTCTGGACAAGCAGCAAACGAGATGCCAACTTCATTTCTTGAAGCAAAGATAGCGTGGGAGGTCTGCTGTGTCTGCGCACAGCCCTGTTTGCTCCGCATCTGCAGCGGGGAGGTGGGCACCAACTCCAGGATGGATGCCGTGGTTTACAGCAACAGAGGCTGACAACGGAGGGGACTGTGGTGCACACGTAATGACGAGAGTGAGAACAACCCACTTCTCTCAAGAACTTACTTCTCTCAACACCACCACAACTCTGCATCACGAGGCCATCTCCCGCTCTTAAAACCGTATGAAATAAGTTTTTCACCACTGAATTAATGAGACACAATTCTCATTGCTTATTGTGAATAACACATGTGGCAAGCTCTGCCCTGAAGCAACCAGCACAGTTATTAATGCTGGATGTTTAGACTATGAATAGATACAGGCAATTAACCATGCCTCTGGAAGACCCAAGAAATGCAAGCAAGCATTCTTTGGTCACCGAGTCTGTAAGCAAATGGCACCGTAACGAGTCTGAGAAGATGCGAGAGGAGTTAACACTATGACACTGCTGTAGCCACCTTCTCCACACGCATCTCAACAGCTGGTAGCTCAGCGGTTGCTAGGACCACAAACACCACATTTCATTTCACTTTGGGGAGAGTTTAGATGAGTAAGCTTGTACAGATCAAAAATATATTTAAAAAAACCCAGAAGCTTTAATTTAGCTGTTACATAATTATAAAAAGCTAAAGATATTTCAACTATAGTATGCCACCGACTTCAGTAATAATAGTAAAGCAGAGGACTAGGAAGACACAAATTGTTTTGTCTTTGCCGCCATAATTCCACTGAATGGCTTCTTTGTAAGCCTGCAGGATAGAAAAAGTACAGTATGAGAGTAGAGCTGATTACATTTATCCTTAACCTTGTTATTTATTAAACATAAGTAGCTTCTTACCAAATGTCATCATTTTTAAGGTTCAACTCACTAGCATGCCTTCCTATCCAACCCTGTAGCATCTCTTTTGAAGTCAAATATTACAGTAAGGATTTCAGGCAGTATCCTATTTCAAAGTCACTCTGTCCCCAAGAACAGGTATTTCTTCCAGGCAAGAGAGGGGCGTGCAAATGAACACCACAAAGGGGCTCTCTGCCTTTTCACTCTTTTGTAGATAACAAACAAGTTGCATATTCTAGCAACTTAAAAAGAAACACTTTTCCATGGATAAAAATTACATGAAATGTAATAGTGCTTTTGATACAGTTTATCAATGGGCACCCTGAGAATACAAAATTTGTGCACCTGAGAAAATGAAACTTTTCTTTTGTTGATGTGATCCAACCACACTCTGGGAGCAGAAGGACAGAGGTGACACAGGAGTCCGCACACTAAATGGACCCTGCAATGACTTTTGCCTATCACAGGCTGGAGCGATCGCAATATTCTGTGAGAAACTATCCCTTGTTAAAAAATCCCAGCTTTATTTTTTTGCTTTAGAAGAAAATAATGAAAACACACAAACTGCAAACTGTGTAGCAATGTGACTCCACCACACAATGTTTCCGTTAGAGGTAGAGATGTTGCATGATGAGTTCACGTAAATTAACTCCTCCACTAAAGATAGTTTTTTATGCAGAAACAAGAAAAAAAAATCCTGCTCCCTAATTGCCTCCCCTGCATTCCTTGTGAGGACTTTAGCATCTATATACATAAATAACAGGAATGAGCAGATCAACTGTATTATTTAGTAGTTCAAGAGAGGCTATGGGGTTTTTTTGGCTGCCTCAATTAAGCAGCCACAGGATTTCTAGCTGATTGCACTGGGGTGCTGCAGAAGCCAACAGCCTTAAGTTAGAGACCGTAAGTCCAATTAAAGCCTGCCTGCCAGGGAAATCTGAGGCTGCACTCCGGTGTTCGGGCTGTCTGAGGTGCAGGCCTCCGATGTGTTTTTGGGAGCTTACGCTCGGCGGCCCGGGCTGAGGCCACTCCCACACATGGCCCCGTTGCGCTCCGGCCCTGTCCCAGCGACCGGTTCCACCTCGCCAAGGCTCTGGGGCTTAGCCCCACTCGCTCCTCTTCACCAAGCCCCTGCTTCCCCCC